CCTTAAGGGATTAAAGAGAGTTTAAATTTTAGCAGGCATTTCACTAATGAAATCACAGGTTTATAATTTCATTTCACTTCCATGGCTAGATAGTAATCGAAGCACATCCTTCCTTTTCTTGTCACAGGGCTATGTGGATAGCTCAATTAACGTCATCAACAGCAAGGAAGCATAAACAGCCAAAGGCACAAGATGCTGTGCCTGCATGGCTTTCACAGAAACAGGACAGAAACTCTTTAAGGGATGAAAATGACTTTTCCTTTATACAAGACAAGCAAGCCCCTTGGCATGTTTGCACTTGTGGTCCTTCTGCTTTAGTCCTAATACAGCTTTTTACTGAGAGCTGGCCTAAGATGACCTGCTTCTGCAGTGTTTACAGGCTCCTAAAATGTGTATGCAAGCAGTCTGGTCCTCCCACAGGCTGCAAAACCTCTGCCTTCCCTACCCCCGGCTGAGATAGAAAGGACTTGCTGATTTTATGAACCCAAAATGCAGGTGCTGATGTACAGGAAGCTCATTCTCCATCCTACTGAAGACAAATACTGAAAATACTCTATATCCTTAATATTATTACACATTATGTGTCACTTTTCCTTTACTTGTGTGTATGTAACAAACTGTAATGAGAGTGATGTCTCTGTTCAAGAATGAATGCAGCCATTTCTGAGCTGACATGCATCAGCAGTGTGTCAGTGAAATGCTATATAGCATTTTTAGAGGCAAAGAAGTCCATCAAACCTAGATTAGAAATCACCTCACCAGCACCATGAATTCACAAGGAGCTGTAAGATATGGAGGTGAGAGAAGAAGGAAACAAGGAAAACAAGAGAGGAGACTGAGAAAAAGGTGAGGATAAATAGAGAATGACAGGAAGAGCTGAGGGGTTCTGCTTTTTTTCAGGCATGTCCAGAGTTCAGTTACAGCTATCATAATTTCTTGTCATCACAAATATGTAATTTTCCCAAGGCTTCCAATATTTAAAGCTTTTCTTCAGGATTGAAATGAATCGTTCTATGTTTGAAAACATAGAACGCAGAGTTCTAGAAATACAGTCCATTCAAATGAATTCCATGGTTCATTTTACACCCCACAGAGGGCATTGCTTATTTTTCAGTCTTTTGATTAATTTGACGTCATTTTTATCTGAATGACCATTCCAAGTAATTTAGGTAAAATAGGGACCCATATAATCAGCTTGTGTTTTATCCAGGTTAAGAGCATTGCTGCTTTCTGATGACCTCCTGTTGTTGAAACAGTAGAAATATGTAAATACCACAGCCAAAATATCTTCTGTATCAACTGCATGTTTTACTGGTCATGACGACCTATGTACTCATTAGCCTTATCAGAAGGTATTACTGTTCACTATATTTTATACAACATCCCTTAAAGGTGCCATCATACAAAGCCTGCAATTTATACTAAATACTAAGCTCTTTTGAAAACGGAAACTGTCAGCTCCAGCAGTGATTGTGCAGTCTTTAGGGAATTAAAGCCATACAATAACATCCCATAAAGTTGTTGCTAGTGATGCAGTGTTGGTTATGGTGATGGCTGCTGACCTCACAAAATTTTTACTATATAGCTAACATGAAAATGCACTTCTTTATTTGACGCGTGTGCTGTACAGTCTGCACTAGCTGGTGCTCATGATTCCCCCCTCTCTTTGTAACCATGAGAAGAACAGTCAAAGTGAAATTTCATTCTTTCCCCCAAAGACTCATTGAAAGGTTTATAAAGAAAGAGAATCCATTGTAGTTATCTTTTATCTTATTTGATAGACTCTTTCTGCAGGATAACACCTTTCTATTATAACTAGAAGATTGGCTTTCCCATTTATGTAGGTTTTATGATTCTTTCCAAAGACTTACCTTGTGGCTGTGTCTGAAAACTGTTCTGGCTGGTTTCACCAGGTTCCGAAGGGACCAAAGCTGTCCCATCTGTAATGTGAAATTACTCCTGCTATTAGAGAAATAGGGCATCTCAGCTTTGAGTAGCTGCTTTTCAATGCGTAACTTTGAGAAAGGAAAGAAACTAAAGATCATGGGAAAAACCCCAGACTTACAAAGTTTGGGGAATTCACCAAAGAATTTACCAAGCTGTATTTCATTGAAGACATGTATTTACTCATTTTTGATAAGGTGCATCTTGACTAGATGAGATTATGTGAAAAAGATTATTATATAAGGGGTCCAAGTCTGATATCATTAGGGAGAAGTGGAAGATGGCAATTCTCAGGGATGTTTCAGCATTGTTGTTCTTGAATGTTGTATCAGGAATTTTATACTTAGATTAGAAAAGACTGATGGAATTTGTTCCTAGCTAAATAAGCTGTTGAAATGCTCAGCACACCCCTGTGCAAGAGAGGAGAAACCACAGTGAAAATCATCTCTGTCCGTTGGGAGATCCTCAGCACAGCAGCCAGCCTCACTATACCTCCTTCACATGTGTCCTTGCCTCCTTAGCCAAAGCACAGGGAGAGGTGGCACAGCACTGGCTTCACTGCTTTGTGCCTGGATCATATATATCTTCAAAATAGAAGCTTGCCATACAAGTGACTTCCACTGATTTTAGCAGGACTAAGATCTGGGTCTATTGTTGATATCCATGGAGGGAAGATGGGGTTGGGGTTTTGTTTTCTTTGCCTTTATGGTCTTAACATGTAAAGTTATTGTATTACATATGTAATCTGCCTAACTGGCCATTCCCTGAGGCTTTTTCCTTCTTCCTTGCTTCAGGAACAACCAACAGAAATGTTGCATGGAAGCAATGATCCTGTGCTGATTCCATGTGTTATCTCTTACTCAGTACCTGAGTAAGAGCTGGCTACTGGCTTTGTAGAAACTCGAGGGTACATAATTCAGTTTTTCCATTTGTGTTCCAGTTCCTTCTTGGAAATTCCCCTTGGAGATAGATTTGTGTGCTCAGGAACTACACTAGAGAAAAAGAACCTAAGAGACCAACTTACTGCAAAATGATCCCTAGGAGGAAAGGAAATCTTTGCTTGTGAAAGGTCACCAGAAAAGTGGCAGTAAGGTCACAGAATTGGGCTGCACCAGGGGAAAAAAAACATCCTTGCCTTCTATGCTGGGTCCCAAAATCAGTAACTTTGACTTAGTGAAAACGGAGAAATGGGCTTGGCTTATTGTTTTACCAAGCACATTGTGTGCAACCTCAGCAGCTTTCTTTTTGTTTTTCCAAAGGCACAGTAGTAGGCAGTTGCGTATTTTTTCCTGATGCATCTAGTAAGAAAGGACACTGATTTCAAGGTGGGTTATTATAGTCCTTGCCTGACTGCAAATTCTGAGATTACCAAAGTAAATTGAGCTAAATGTCATGTTATCCCTTGTTTAATGAAAAGCAATTAAGATCCTCACTGACTTTATTGAAGGATGTGGGTTTGCTGCCTGAAGCACAGGGAACTTCTTTTTAATCTCCAGTAAAAATGGACAGCCATTCTCTATTATTAAGTATCTCCTACAGTGTGTCATTCCATGAACATAATGACTGTATTTCTCCTTGTTCATGTGTCATGTGAGTAAATGATAGAGTCTTTGGCAGTTTGCACTGAAAGTCTTGAGCCATGCAGCAGATGCTCAGGCATGAAGCGGAGAGATTTGTTTGTCTTGGTACGGCACTGACAGTAGCCAAGTTTGTGATAAACTTTAGTTCTCATGATAAACTTCACTGGATGGAGGAGTAAAACTGCGTAAGAGCAGATTCTCTGCTGTTTCAGCAAAGAGAAGGGACACAAGTGAAACCTCTTTCAGTGAATAACCCTGGTTATTGCAGCGCTGGAGAGGGGCAGAGGCTGGGTGTAGGTGATGGTTGTCTCCAGTGCACATGGCACATAGGTATTTAGGGCCATCAGGTCACCATTGGGCTCTCTATCTGGCTACCACAGCATCACACTGAGCCCTTCAGTGGAGGGAATGATTTACCCTCAGGAAACAGATTCGTATTGAAAAGCCTTCTACTGTAATAATCTCCTTCTCTCTGTACCATGGAAGCATTTCATCCCTATCATGCAGTAAGTAAGTAGCTGAGGCTCTCTGATGCTACTCTTAGGTTACAGTGTGATGATTTTCAAATCTTCCAGGCAACCCTCCCACTGGCATTAATTGCCCCCCTGCTGCTCCTGTTGCAAAGCTATTTGCTCTTTCAGCATGCAGTACTTGTTCAGTGCTGCACTAAACCCTTGTTGCTTTGCAGTAAAAAAGAAAGCTTCAGTTTATGCAAATGACATTGAAATGAGTATGATAAAGTGATAAACAATCACGTTTTATGATTGCAACTGTTGGGGTTTTGTTTGTTATTTTACAGTTAATTTTGTGGAAGTGAAGGTCTTTACAAACTCCCTTCTGGCATCAGTGCAGTAATACAGGGCTCCCATACCAATGTTTGAAGATTTGGTAGGGCCACCGAACCAACATGATAGGGGGATCGTATCCAACATCAGAGTGTCCCTTTTCCCTATGGTAGAGCTCCCTCCCAGCTCAAAATCTCCCTGTATCTAGCAGCTCTGTTTTAGTTACTATGTCTTTGGGTGGCAGTTAGGTTTCATGCCCTTTTCTTTATTTCCTTTTCCTCTCTGTTCCTGACACATTATTATTCTTTCCAGTGACTGACCACGGCTCCAAAATCCCATAGTCCCCAAGAGTAATTACAGATACATTTCTATGCCATCCCCACTGGTAGCTTGGGTCAAGTGCTTCATTTTTATCCAGGTCAGCTACAGAGAAGTCTGGTTGACTTTGCTTTGTCAGTAGCTGCATGGCAAGACAGGGCTATTTCTGTTACCTGAGTGTTTCTGCTGTACAGGTTGGTCCTCTGCAGAGTCTGGAGTACTCAGTACCACAGTAGTGTTGGTAGTGGCCATCAATGGATGATATGAGACCCCTACAAAGTTTAAATGTCAGAGGGAAACGGCTAGAAAGAGTGTGAATATGGCTACATGAGGAGTAAATGAACACAGTTTGATTGTGTCTTTTTCTGCATAGGGTTTGATGACCTGCATGCTTGTGCTGACCCTGGAGCTCCTGAACATGGATACAAGACACCCAGTGCAGGTGTATTCTTTGAAAGCGTGGTAGTCCGGTTTCATTGCCAAGAAGGATACAGGCTTAATGGTACTTCAAAAAAACTTTGTGTGAGACACTTTAACGGCTCCCTGAGCTGGAAACCAAGTGATAAACCTGTGTGCCTACAAGAAGGTAAGTCAGTTTCTTAAAGCACTTCATCAGTGTTAGTTCTCACTTGTCCATGTACCATGTCTGTGTGACTCAGCACAAAACACAGAAGGCAGGAGTCCATCTCACTGTGTCTTAGTTGATATATACTACAGTTTCCCGTCCATCCTATCCATAATCCCCATCTGTCAGTTAAATCATCACTGTGAAAGGTTGTGTATGTGTATGCATGCGTGTCTTGAAAGAGACGTAAAGAAATCTGAAGAGAAAAACATATTTCTCCCTTTAAGTAGTTATAAATTGATGCAGAGAGAAGATATACTCCAGTATAAGTAAACCATTTGTAACCATTTATTAAAGTTGCACACTTAATACTCCTTTCTGCAATATTTTACTAGGAAAATGTAATGGATTTGCAATGCTGCTGTTCCTGCTAATCAGGAGGTTTCAACAATTATATTTTATGATGTGTGTATGATACAAGTAGGAAAATCAATACCCATGGACAGTACAAGTTTACTTTGAGATAGTTCAGATGATTATAGCATAAACCATTTTATTTTTATTGTATTGTGGTGTTGTAACTGTATACGGTTTTAAATAATTAGGATGTTAAATTGCTTCCTGCTTCTGGGAGTTATGGAATAGAATCATAGAGTCATAGAATAGTTAGGGTTGGAAAGGACCTTAAGATCATCCAGTTCCAACCCCCCTGCCATGGGCAGGGACACCTCCCACTAAACCATGCCACCCAAGGTTCTGTCCAACATTGCCTTGAGATACAGATGCAGGATTAATTAGAACATCATAAGTGTAAATTTTGGCTAAAATACATCCAAGCAGCACAAATGATTTACTTTACTAAGTATATTAAAGATATAAATTGTTCTTTCTGTTGATCAATTTCAGTCAACAGAGCTGTTAAATCAACAGGCATGAAAAGTGTTAGTTAAATCAAGTGTGGATGTTTTAGTGTTGGGACTTCTCCACTGAAGTCATTACTATTGCTTCCTTGTCTTCAAGGTGGAGCAGGATGAATTCTATTTCAGGATGCCTTCTGTCATTTAGAATCAGATATAATGTAAGGATAAATATAAGGAGTTCATTCAAAAGCAGTCAAAGACTTATGAGGCTCATAAGCACACTTACTGCCTGGATCATGCATCACTCACTGTGTATCAACACTGCAGGGACTTGTTTATGCTGAGCAGGGGGTGGGTATGAGATTCCTGTGCGAGGGCAGGGGTGCATGAAGGGCTGTGCCACAATGGGAGATGAACCACGCTCAGGAGGTGCTCATGAAGGGAGCAACCCTAAACAGTGATCTGTGTGAAGGTGGTGTGTATTGGAGAGAGCAGCCAGAGGCAGCTGGTAAGTAGCCCATGGTCCTTCAGGTCGCTGCCCTGTTGGCTTTTCAAGTCTTGGTACACACCGAGACGACAGCTGATGCGTAGAACATAAAGGCAATGCTGCCAGTAATGCCTGGTCACGGTGGTGGCGTAGGTCAGCTTCACAGAAATAACCTGATGCCTTTCAAAATAATGTATGTGTGAAAATCACGCCCTCTCCTGTTACAGCACCTTTCATAAATGCCCTTGTCTCTCATCCCATGGTGATAAGAGAAAAAATACACGTAGAGTGACAGCAGCATATGTCTAAACTGGGCATCTGAACTACCAAAAAAAAAGCTATAATGCTTGGAATATTTGTTTTCTTAACCACTACAAGTTGCTTCTAGAATTTTGATGTGCAGCTTGGAAATAGTACCTGTATCATTCACTGCAGGTGTTAAAATAAGCATTAACATGTTTGATTGAGCATTCATACCTCTTCCCAGTGCCCCCCGAACCCCTAGTCCAGTGGACATCTGTGGATGAAATTTCTGATCACAATGATATCAACAGCAAAACTGCCACTGATGTCAGTGTGATCAATACCGAATCCAGGTGTTTTCAAGACAGAAAGAAAGTAGGAAGATGAGAATGTGACGGATGATGTGGCAACAGTTGCTTAAGAGATAATCATTACTTTAGAGCACAGAACACTTAAAAAGGATTGGTAGCCAATGCTCTGATCAAGCAAAGCACTTAAGCTTGAGCATAACTGTAATTATGTGATTAGTCTTGTTAAAGTTCTATGCTCAAAAGATGATTTTTATTATGTGGGCTGAAAAGTAGGATCCTGATTTGGGGTTTAGTGAAGCAAGTGTTTAAGCACTTTCCTGATTAGCGGTATAATAATGCCTCAGGTAATACTAAAACAATCCTAGAGTTCAGCAATAGATGACAGAATTTATTCTTCTTTCCAATGCACAAAACAGCCACGGATTCAGAAGAAATACTAAGCAAAGGAGCAGTAGCAACCCATGAGACCTAAGCATTTGCTTAAGTGCTTTTTAGAGTGATCCTTTTATATACTGGAGCAGAATCAGACATGACAGGGAGGGGGAAAGTGTAGGAACACGATACATCTGGAGAACTGTTAAGGAAGAATTATAAAAGGGTTTATAATTCTCAGCTGATAATGCCATATATTAAAGTCCTCATTGCAGAAATTCTGTGATGATGTATAAAAAGAAAGTTGAAATCTGGAGCAACTACTGGAGAAGAAGTTAATGTTTCACCATCCATCATTAGCTATCACAAGGCAACATAAACTTTAAATTGCATTTACTCATTTAAGGCAGGGGCTGACTGCCATATGTGCTGTGGTATGCTCTACACGCCTCTCATCCCAGTGTATGTGAATGTCAGATACTGCCAGCTGAGCTTGAACACTAAAAATACTCAACACTTTGGAGGTGATTGTAAGTTCATCTCAGGAATTTGGATCCAACTAAGTATGGTTACCTATAGTTTTATGTCTCTATGTTATGTACATTTAATTGTTGCTATGCGTTTACTAGAACAATCTCTAATCACAAATGAACGCTATTTACCAAAGCAACCTGTTTCAGAATGTAATTGATTTTAAAACTAATACATTTGCCTGGAGCTCTCCATCCAATCAGTTTGATTTTATAGGCCTGTCATTTCTTGTTAAGAGACAGGAGATTTTAAGTGTCAGTACGAGAATGAAGTTGCATGAGTAGGTGCCCAATAAGTGCCCTGTCAAAAATTGGTGTGCTTGAGTTATGTTCTCATGTTGATCTACAGCATGTTGTGACGGTACCTTCCATCAATTCTAATACAGTTATGCACATAAACACCAAAGCTCTGAGGTAGGAATTTTGTGTTTACTGTTTAAGAGCAATATGTCATGTTGTTCACACTTTAATCTAATCTTCTCCCACTGTGATAATGTGGCTGCTGAGACTGTTGCCCTACTTGGAACAAATGCTACCTCTTTCCTATGAGATCGAATCTAAATTTACAGTCTACAGGGAGATGGCAACCAAGTGAAGAGCCCTTCTCTCCCAGTGCTTCTGCAAGCAGACACCCTCAAGATGTCCTTAGTGCCTCATTCTCCCACTGACATGGATGATAAACCTGCAGTGAGAGTAATGGAGTAGTGACTACAGGTTTCCCATATGACATTTAGCACTCATTTCTCTTTGCCTTTATCCCTCGATCTGTGAGGTGACTGAAATACCTTTATTTCTCCATCTCTTATCTGTCTTGCTCAGTGTTTTCTGCTTCTTAAGCCTGGTTACAAGCACTGCGTAATGTTTGTAGCCTGTGCTTAGCACAATGGCCACAGATCTCTGTGCACTCTTGTAATACAAGCAAAGACAATAAAGTATTATTCGATATGCACTGAAGTACTGTTTGCCATCCATGGAGGTACCCTGCTAACACAGTACTATGGATTTAACACTAGTAAAAAGCAAGACACAATAACAATCCTAAATACGTACTTTTAAGAGCACAGGGTCCTGATGAGCTGTCCCTGTGTTCAACCCATTCTTCATGATGTTCTCTCATCCTCTCCTCTCCATTCCAGCCTGTCAGTGCTGTGGTTAGGTGTAGTCAAGGCTAATTCAGAGACCACTCTGCAGTGAGACACACAAGAGCACTGCACCTCTGCATTTGAGTTTGCAAACAGACTAGTAAGCAAAACAGTGCAGAGCAGGGGCCAGGACATTGTTCTTCAACTGTACACTCCTCTTGTGTTAGAAAGGTCCCAACATGGTTTTGGCCAACATCAAGTAGTACTCCCAAAGCAATTCCTGCAGGGAACTTCTGGATTAACTTGGACCAGGGACAATTTCTGGAGTTCACCTGCAATAGACACAAGCCATGTCAAGCCAGCTGCAGCCATGAGGATAGTGTGGCTATCTTCGTAGTATCCAGGTCATGCCTTCCTTGTGAGTTACCTCTATGGGCAAGGTGCTCTTGGGAGGAGGGAGGGTGGTTCTCCTTCTCCATGAGCTGGAAGAAACAGCTCTGAGAGATGATGTGCACATAAACTAAAGCACTATAACTATAGTGTTTAACCAGTTTTACTCTTTGGACCAACATTCTGATGATGGGGGACACACTTGGTTTGCTAAATCCAAGAACTAATGTACAAAGCTGCATCTTCATAAAAAGGACATGGAGCTGTTGGAGCAAGTCAAGAAGAGGACTACAAGGATGATAAGAGATCTGGAGCACCTCCCGTATGAAGACAGGCTGAGAAAGTTCAGCAATGAGAAGGCTGCATGGAGACCTCAGAGCAGCCTTCCAGTATCTGAAAGAAGCCTACAAGGATGCTGGGGAGGGACTCTCCATTAGGGACTGTAGTGATAGGAAAAGGGGTGATGGGTTTAAACTTAAAACAGGGGAAGTTCAGATTAGATATAAAGAAGGCACTGGCACAGGTTGCCCAGAGAAGTGGTGAATGCCCCATCCCTGGCAGTGTTCAAGGCCATGTTGGACAGAGCCTTGGGTGACGTGGTCTAGTGTGAGGTGTCCCTGCCCATGGCAGAGGGGTTGGAGCTAGATGAGCTTAAGGTCCTTTCCGACTCAAACCACTTTATGAATCTATGATTCATGAAAGATCAAGGTGATGAGCCCTTGCACCTGGCAGACTGTTAGGCCTGCACCCCATGTCTTTGTGCCTCTTCAAGATCAGGCATGTGTTCCTAACTGTGGCACTCTTTTGGCTGAACTGTTCTAATATTCACAGAGTAGATATAAAGCAGGTCATATAAAACTGCCGGAAAGGAGTGTAAGTCGTAGCTGTTGCTGTTCACTGCTGTTAAAGACCTTGTATTCCCTTAAATGATTTAGCAGCTTCCATGGATTTGCTAAGAAGTACTTAGAATAAAACAGTTTATTTTCTAGGACAGGACATTCTGAAATTCAATCACTTAGTCTCAGCTTTTCCAAGCAGAATTTGTGCCAGTTAATCCAGCTGTTTGTGGAGAGATGGCTACTCCAATTTATCCCTGACAAGTGCTAAACAATACAGATTCAGCCAGTGAGAAGGCATTTGCTCTCAAGGTGTCAGGAAAAAGGGCTGTAATACTGTGGTCCATTGTTCTCGTGTTTAGTGATGGCTTGTAATAGGCCTGTTATCAAAGACAGCCAGGACGTTACAGGCAAAGAATGGTACAGTGAGAAACTCACCGCTGCTCTCTGCCAGCATCTGGCTGATTAAAATGATTTGATATACAGCTGTTACTTGGAATAATGTGGATGAAGTCGCTGTAATAGATCATTGTTACAGAATCAATTTCCCCCACTTTGAAAATGAAATCTCAGGTTTTAGCACACTGCATATATATACACCTCTTATTTGTATAGCAACAGAAAGCTGTTATGCCAAGAAAGTGAGCTGTTCATTGATATTATCTTCTGGCATCCATCTCTGATCTCATCCTGGGTGGCTGCAGAGCAGGATCCCCATCTATCTCATCCCACCTTTGGGAGTGCCCAGGGCAGTTTCTCTGTGACAGTAGTCATAGCTTAGCACCAGGCATTTCATATGGGGCATCCTCTGCTGTCTCTGCTGATTAACTTGCCACAGAGAGAGAGAAAACTGTTCAGTCATTGAAGGTGGTGTCTGCACCCTCATCACAGTGCATTTTATAACCTTTTAGGCTTGAGCATTTATAAATGAATAAATCCTAATCAGACACCTTGCTGCAGTTTCTCAGATAGCCTGAAAGACTGGCAGCCTTTCCTGCTCGAGGCAGCAAGATGTACCTGTAACAGCAGCCACGAAACAAGAGAAATGGGAGAATTTTTAAGTAATCATATGTCCAGGCCGCATGCTACAAGTTAGCTAAGTGCAATGTATTATAGAAAACAGCCCTATAATGGGAAGATACAAGGGCAAAATATGTTTAACTGGGGAAGCAGCACTCTTCCACTTCTTATTAGTAAACTCTAGTGATGGAGTCTCAGAATAATAGATCTCCTACTTTGCCGAAATACATAAATACATGCATCATGAAATACATTTGCTGGTTTGTGTGTGCTGTGCTAAACGGCAGTTTATCTTGCTTCTAGTTGTGATTCTAAGCAAACAAGTAAGCTCTTGCTATTGCTTTACTTTGTGCTTGTTCACAATTAAGTGCTAAATACAAATTTAGAGTTGCCTTTTCCTATTCAGTGACAATTACCCATGAAAATGGCAGAAACTTTCTCCTTAATGCAAATCTCAAGGGACTTCTGAAACTTCTTCTTTTTGAATAAGTACTGAAGATAATTGTATCTTGTGGTAAAAGTGCTGGAAAAAAAACCCGGCATAAAACAGGCTTAAAATATGTCTACTGTCTTGCTTTTGTTTGAAATACTTGATGGGTTTGATGCCTGGAAACTTTTATCACCACCTCTGTCATGGATTGGCTGCTGGCAGACAGATGATTTTGATTATATTTTCCCAATACTTAATCTTTTCCTCTGTTCTGTTTAATCTCACTTTGCATTTACGAGGAGGATGAACTTTGAGTCACCTGAACTATTCCTTCACATCCTCTTGGCTTGTCTCTTAATTACTCAGTATTAGCAGAGGAATTTTTACCCTGCCTCACCCTTTCCTTCCACTTTCCAGAGCATCTTTCAATTTTCAGTCTTCTGGGTTTTATATTTTAGTGTCTTTGGCACTGGTATATGCAGTGAGGTATGAGACTTTCTGATACATACATCACAGAGAGGTAATTGAGCCATGCCTGTATATAACTAGAGGTTTGCAGTCATTTTCCTTGCTGAGAGTCTTCTACAAGCACTTGAGATGCTGCTCAGGGCCTTAAAACCCACTCCTATAAGCACATGAATTCAGGAACATAAAATGATCTGATTTAAAGCAGAATCGATGAGATTAAAGTGAAGACATTCCCATAATGAACTCTGTGGAATGGAGCTGGATAAACCCTTGCAAATGTACCTAATTTTCACCTGTCTCTCTGCTGCAGCTGCAGTTTTTTCTGTGTTTCTCATGCCATATCTGTATTCTATCTTTTCTTGCGTCCTGTCCTTAGTGCTGTCAAGGAGTCTGCTTTCTCGTGGGTCTTTGGGGTAGTCAGAGTATGTGCTGCAATGGTGACTATGGCTTCTGTGGAGAATGGAAGGACCAAGTTAAAAACAGTCCTCCTAAATGCTTTTAATGTTGTTTGTTTAAAAAAAGCCTGGGGGAATGAGCTCGTCATCTTCTACAGTGCTATAGACTTTGTAACCGGTGCTTAATTAAGGAAAGGACATCATTACTGAAATGGGTGTATTTTTCAAACAGTTTAAGCAGAGCACTTACATGATCTGATAACTTTTGCTTAAGAGCTTGATTATTGACTAGCTGCCCATGTTTTTTTTAATGAAGTTACTATTTTTGTTTCTTTCATGAAGTCACAGATTGCCTTGTTCCACACGTTGAAGATGCAGAGGTTCATAACAAGACATACAGGACTGGCGATAAATTAATAATCAGCTGTCATGAAGGATTCCAGATCCGTTACCCTGACTTAGACAACATGGTTTCAATATGTCAAGACGATGGAACATGGGATAATCTGCCCATTTGTCAAGGTTTAGTACACCAGCACATCCTCTTTTATAGCTCATGATAGTTTGCCAGTGTTATTTCCTATAGTTGTAAGGATGTCAGTGATCTGATACAGTATTTGAATAGTGCTGCTGATATGTACTTCCCCACTGCTCACTGCAGGAAAGAAGATGTCACTTTCTGAACACACCCATACTTAAAATGCTACTTTAAATATTGCTTTTTGTTTGCTAGTCCAATATCTGACACAGATACTTTGCAATCTAAAGAAAAATCAGAGCCAAATCAGTCAGAAATGATTTGATGGGCAATTGACATTTTAGCCCCATTTCTGGGAAGAGTTAAGCTTCTAACTGCGTTTTACCTTCCTTCACCTTGTGCAGCAGGCAGGGGAGAGGGGAAAAGCTGGAACCTGTTCTTCTATCAGTTTTCAGCAGAGCTGATGATGAGGTTCACAGTCCATTAAACCCGTAGGTATTGACTGAAAACTCAGGATGTGCATAAGAATGATTTTGGCCAGAAAAGCCATTAGCTGTGGAACTAGTAGCATTGGTAGCTTGGGATCACAGCTTCACTTAGAATGCGAGAAATGGATGGGGGTAAGCCAGACTTAGTGATTGGAAATTCAATATCTTTGGGCTGCCACTACCTCTACATTTCTAATACGCATGCCTTAGTACCATTGACTCGGGTTTAACAGCACTGAGAGATTTTGTCTGTGCTAAGGAGAATACTGGGTTAGTATTAACTGTCCTCAAACCCATCCATCATCTCCTAAAGGTGACAGTTTCTGTGGGCACTTAATTACACCGTCCCATTAGCTTGCAGAGCAGGGCAGGCAGGCAGGAGAGCTGTGACACTTCTCAGGAGTGATGGTGGCACGGTGAGAGATGAAAGTCAGAGCTTGGCATTTCAGCTGTAAAGTTATGAGACTGATGGGCACCAGAGTCAGAAGTTACAGGAGGTTAGATTGTATGGGTCTCCACAGTTAGGACCCTCGGTCTGGGGCACATCAAACTGTCCCCCAAGGTCTTGTCTGAGACCACAGTGCACAGACATGTAGACATTTACATACATTACAGGGCGAGCTCAGTGCTTCAGATGCACACATAATTGAATAGGTCTGACAAGAAAAGGGAAGTTTTCACAAACCTATAATAAAGTGGACACAAGTTTTGGGGTATCTTCTTAGCAGTATGAAATATACAGGCCATTTTTGAAAGTGGGTGCACCTCACACTGAATGAAGATAAATTACGACTCTTGGAGTTAGGGGAGAGGAATTAATATTAATTAATATTAATAATAAAGATTAATATGCAGAGGAAATTTTGTGTCAGCCAGTATTAACTGGGTAAGCAAAAGAACCTGAAGTACCCCTTTGGCTTTTTGCTTTCTTCTGTTGCTGTATTTATTCTATGCAACATGATCAATTGCTGCTGCTCAATATTTGATATTAACTGATTTTAAAATAAAGCAGTGTTAATAAAAGTTAAGAAATCAATTGCACAAACCCCAAGTGCTGTAACTACCAGACGGGTAGAGAACAGGCATTTAGGATTACAGCACCTGCCATATTTTGCCAAATTCTACAAACCTGCTCCAAAATTGCCTCCAGAATTTTCCTTTTGCTATGTCAAGCACTAATAATATCAAAGCCACTTGCCTACATGCACTAGGTAGGCTGTCAATTCCATTTCCATGGCCCTTTGATTGCAACAGGCAGGGGAGTCTCATGACACTCAGAGACCTTTTTTTCCTGCCGGAGCAGTGGGAAAGGATTGTGGAGTGTATAAGAATCCAACCTTAAAATATTTTTGCCACAAGATAATAATGATAATTACTGATCTGAAATGATGAGGATTACTTAGCAATAAGAAAAAAAGTCAAAATGAAGTTTTCAAGCAGCTTGAGATGTTTGGAGACGCAGGGGTTTTCACAAACATTTGGCTCTCATACAAATTCAAGTACAAGGAGCCCAACAAGCATTAAAATTCTGAGCCAGCAGTACAAAATCTCTCCTCATACAGTTCAGAGGAGAGTGAGCTTGGTCTTGCTCAGGCAGTCTGTGCTCTTTTTTGTCCCACTGGAGGCTGCTTATATCGCCTTGCTCAGTGGGCTGCTCAGTTTGCAGGAGCCGGTGTGTTACGTGTGGGGCATTCTTGATCAGGGGTACCAGCAGTAGGTAGCATATAGGATGCTTGAAGTTTTATTTGAGCAGGAAGATAACCAGCTAGTAAAAGCAGCTATCAAACCATTGCTCTGGTAGCCCAGTGTGCTGTAAAAATGCTTTCAAGCTCTTTTTGTTGTTTTCTTTTGCTTTTGTCCCTCTCTCAAAAGTCCATTGCAACAAATAACCACTTGAAGTGGTGTCAAGACTTTTTCTTTTAGATGCCAGTATCTGACAAGAAGTTCTGAGGCTGATTTTAGTTTCCCCCTCAGGCTTAAAATTATCAGCATCCTATGGACATCCTTCACAAATTCCTAGCGGCAGCAAGAGAGCCACTGATGGACTGCCATAATGCACCTCCTATTATTCTCATAACTTTATCATATTATTTTTCATTTCCTGACTACTAATCATCTTTCCTCCACATTACTGCAAATTAAAAAATCAACAGTATTAAGTATTACCAAGAGGGTCATTTCTGAGGCCATGAGGAATTGTTCTTTTCTCTAGTACAAACTCTTATCTAAATACCAGCTCAAACCAGACTCTGAATGTGAAATGACATGTTATAAAGTCATGTCATCTATTAAATTCACTGCTCTTTCTTGCACCAAATATGGTTGATGACCATTTAATTGTTACTGCTCAACACCATCCATGGTACAAGTCCCTCAGTAGTAAATCCAGAAGCAAAACGTAGCTTCTGACTACATTTCCAGTTTCTGATGATAACAGGTACCTTAACTTTTTGATAACCTAATCCCAGACCTCCTTCCGTGTTTATCATGGGACTGCTCAGAGGAAGTCATGTCCCTTTAGAACGTCTCAAACTGGAATTTCAAAGTCATTAATTCTGCCTGTGAATCTCCTACAGTTGTGTGCACTTTGTGACAGAAGCAGTCTTAATATTAAAGATGGTTTATGTGCCTGTCAGTTTTAAGAGAAGGAATACAACTCATGGTTTATATAAATGACAATCTATATTTACTAAAGATTCTACCTCCAAAAGCAATTGCCATCTGCTAAACCAGTGAATGCTTGTGAAACAAAATACCGTCTTTTTCAGTAAACCTGTCCTGGACTTGCTGAGAGTGAATCCCACACTAGCAAAATGTGTGGGCTGAACAACAAAAAGGGCTTGAATCAGGATAAGGAGGTATATGTATTTGAGGGAGCTCATGCAGACATGCCATTCATAGTAGAGAAAATGATAAATACTGCACTCCTTAATTTAGGAATTAGAACCAAGATGTGTGAAGATGACTGAGATAAGCACCTTATAATAAAGGATACCTCCCTCTTCTTAATTTGCAGGTTGCCTGAGGCCATTGGTTCTTCCTCATAGTTACATTAACGTATCTGAGTTTGAGGCCTCCTTCCCCGTAGGAACAGTGGTGCATTATCAATGCTTTCCTGGATATAAACTAGAAGGAGCAGAGCTCCTTGAGTGCATGTATAACCTTATCTGGTCAGATAGCCCACCTAGGTGCCTTGATGTGGAAGGTAAATGTCTTATTGTTTGTTTATCTTTCAGTTTTGCAAAATCAGCATGCTCTGATTTTAATTCAAGGCTATAACCATGGTTGCACTATATGCAATGTCTACGCTGGCCACACAGAGCCTATCTGGTTTTCGCTGTGTGATTCACTGCACCATTAGCTCTTGAAGTTACTTAACCGTAATGTTTGTTCTCTTAGTGTCCAAAGTGCGAGAGGAGAAGCTTAACGATGAGTGCTTTGCCCTTACAAAGCAAATTCTTTGCAGCTTTTCTAATAAACATAGTGAGGAAGTTATGGAACTCACATTCATGTGCAGATGGTCAGAGTTTATGGGTAGATTTCCATGATAACCAAAAAATACTCTGTAGGAACTCTTAATTTGGGCTGTGCCAGCTGCAAACATTATTCAGTGCTGCACAGTGCTGCACGCTTGAGTATTTGTTATCTATCTGTCATCACAGTTAACCTTAAAGAAGGATTTGCAACTCAAATGACTGAGCTAATTTATTGATTAGGAACATAAAAACCGTCCAGTGTGAAACAGAGGAAATTGTACCAAGCTAAAAGGAAAAATCTGTGACTACAGCTGCAGTGCTGGAATGGAGGGCATTGTAGTGCATTTATATTTGCATCCCATACCTTTAAAACAAAGATACCAAGTGGATTGCTCCATAAAATGTCAAAACCTTTTGAACTACCTTCCTCCATCTTCATACTGCATCTTTAATGAAACATCCTCAGAAGCCATCACGATCCAAATGCACCCTCTGCATTTCACTTCCCTAAAAGGACTACATTTTTGCCCTATTTCAAGCCTGTAAGGAAGCTACCTATATGTAGAATTCAGCTAAAAGTAATTATAGGAATTCATATGTGATACTTATGTCACTGAGTTAAATGCTAAGCATTCTGGAAGTGCAAAAATCTGTCAACTGCATCAACAAAGTGCTACACTGCACAGAAATAATACAATGATCCTTGCTATTGACTGACAGTGCAAGTTCCAGAACTCAGAAATGCCTTTGCAGCTTTAGAATGACATAACGTGATTTCTGTTTGCTTGTTTACTTAGCACAGCATAAAAGATTCAACCCAAATCTGCTCTGTGCAAGCCAGTTTGGGGAGGTTTGTTTGTTGTTGGAAAATGTTTCATGGAAAATGCAGTAAATATCAAAAATATACTAAAAAACCAGAAGGGCCCTGTTAGGCATAATCCAAACAGTGTAACCGATTTGATAAAAATGACAGTTCTGCAGTTAGGGAGATAAGAGCAGTCAAGTACAGAAACTCGTGTATGAAGCAGAAGTTGTATGCTGCTGTCACTGACCACAGGTGAGCATTACAGCTCCTATCAGAATACCCAAGAAAACTCCTGTGTCATTTTTATTGCTTGCATTATAAAGTCATAAAGAGGCTCATTTTTCTTGATAATTTAAAACATGAGATGAGAAGCAATGCCCTGACAGTTTTGTGCTCTAAGTAACATGTCAAAAGTCGTCATCCTTACTCAACTATGATGATGTCTGATGGGGGCATCAGTGTGCTCCAGACATTGGCCATCTGGAAGGCCTCCTGAGTTTGGATTTTGATCCAGCCTCCCTTTTAATCACTTTATTGTTGCTCTCCTTCAATGTTAAATCTGTGCATGTGTTGAATGACCCCCAGGACACCCAAGCATAGATAGAACACAATGCTTGCGAGAGCAGGTTCTCCTCAGCTTTGGGGCTGTCCTTGCTTCTGTTGGGGCAGAAGAGAGAGCAACATCACTAAAAGCATCACCCTTGACAGCTCCCCTTGTGAACTCTGTTGTAGGGATGCTCCAGCTGGGACACAGAGAACTTCAAAATAATATCCAGATAGGGTAAATCAGCTTGAGATGCCCTTGTTTGAAAGTGTTTGTTCAAGTGATTTATGCAAGGAGTGCCAGTCTCTAGGAATCTCTTAAAATCCACCACTCTTAATTAGCGGACAGAACTCCCTCCCTGCAGATTACTTTACTCTGTACCTTGCATACCAATGTCAAGCTCATTTTTCACAATTCCTTTTACATGTAAGATGTAATCTCTCCAAGCAGTATTTTTTTTTCACAGAGAAAATTTGCAAATACCAAATTAATTCCATTTATTTATTTCCATGATCAATTCAAAATTTATTCTAATTGCATTCCCTGCTCAGTATTTCAATGGTGATGATTAAAAGCAAAATGATTGTTAGGAAGCTGTAGTAAACCACTGCAGAACTTTTATTTGGCTATAAACAACAGTGCTTACAGCTTTCTTATTTTGATGTATGTTCTTCTTGAAGCCTTCACAGAAAGAATTTAAATGTGTGTGTAACCACACAAATGCTATATGCCACTCTCATGATTTTTCCCCTCTGTCAAGCCATATAAATTCTGAATGGAGGGTTTGTAGCTCCATTTAAATAAATGGTTACAGCAGGGGTCACTCAGCTCCCATGGTACAGCATGCTTTCTAACGCTCACTCCGGTCTTATTCTCACTATTGCCAAGTGCAGAGCTTCCACCATCTTTGGCAAGGGACTGGTTTTGCTGATAGGGGAGAAGATTTTTCTGATAGTTAAAATCATGGTTGCTTTAGTGTGTGAAAATCGTGATAGCTGGTATCTGAAGCACAGCCAGCACCGCAGAGTTATGCCGCGGCTTCCCAGACACAGCTGTTTACATCTGATCAGGGAAGTTGTTATAGCTCAGGCAAATAAGGATGCCTCCAGCTCCGATTGCCAAGTATTTACTGGTATGAGATCCTCTTCTTAAATGCTTGTACCTTTGCCAGATTTAAAACATTCAGATTGATTTTTGAGTGCCTGCCTCAAGCTGAATCATTTAGGAAGCTTCAGTTGAAATGGTTCAGCTATATCTGAGAATGATGGTAGAGGGAATGGTGTTGTTTTATCAGTGCTAGAAAATTTAACCGTTCTTTCGAGGTTAAGATGAAGCATCTTAACACTGAATTTTCTTCTCCTTTAAGTCCTCAATTTACATCTTTAACTTTCTTAATATCCTTTTTTCTAGTGGAATGCCATAATTGTGCAGAAGTTTTTTAAACTTCTTTTTGTTTGTACTGAAACTTGCTGAACACTTCAAGGGTATATGAAAATCTAAGGAAATTTTTATATACATATATATTTATATGACTTTTGAATTACCAGTCTGGGGTTAATCATCCATCTGTAGAAATCGATTAAGTTAGGGATTGCCTTCTATAAAATCAGATATGCAAAACACGGGTGGAGAAACCCTTAAATTGAAGGTTGCCACATGGGGTGTATAGACATCAGGTGTAAAATCAGATGGCTTCCAGAAACATCGGGGAAGAGTAAACACTTGAAAGGATACTGGTATGGAACTCTGTGAAATAAAACATAGAACTAGGAGATGTGTATGATACAATACTTTAAGGGGGTAAAGACATTAGCACAGTATTTGGAGGAATTCTTCAAAAGCCAAACCAGTGTCCATTAGCCCTTTGGGAAGGGGATCTGCATGCGATTACACACCTTGCCATCTGGAATATGTATTTTAATCTTCCATGTCCTTTGGAAGAGTTCCAAGAAAATGTAAGGAATAGTTCTGATACAGAACTGAAGGAAAAGCAGGCAAAGAGAGGAAATGTCGGAAGAATTCGATGAAAGTGCTAATGCTAGAATATAAAGCAGTTATATGGATAGTGTAATTGGGAGTTCCTGGCTTTGTAAGTAAGAGTAAAAGGGAAAACAGGTTGATTGAATTTGCAAACAACAGACATGATCCTATTACCTTGAATGTCTGATTTCAGCATCATGGCAGTTTAACAGAAAAGCAGGAAATCAGACATATTGCAATATCAGGACTTCATTATGCATGCTAGGATCAACAGATTCTCAAGCTGAGGTTAAGCTTGAAAGAATGTAAAATAGAAGATATATTCAAGTTTTTGTAGGTAGATTCAATATCATGAGGAACAGACCTCAAAGAGGAGAATCAGCGAATAGAAAAGGGGGAAATAGAAGAAAATTGAAGGCATTTCAGAATGTAAGAGTACTGGAGGAGGGTGCTGTTACAGGTGAAATGCCATAGGCACCTAAGGTTTCAAAACAAAGTAGCTCACACTTTCTGGCCAACTACGTGTAGGATCCTTTGAAGGAAAGCTTCAGAAATCTCCATTCTTACAACAATTGCTGATGCCATGAACAGTGATTGACACTGAGCTGTATGCCCAATCCACTCTGCCCTTAAAATATTGTCAGTTCCTGATGGAACGTACAGCAATACACTGAGAAAAAAGAGTCAAGTCAGTCTGTAATCAGTTTATGTTCAGGAGTCAGAATAAAGCAATCCTCAGCCTGAGATACTGTACATTGGTGCAAATAGATTTCTCTCTGTGTTTCTTTGTTGACATTGAGAAGGCTTTAGATAAATTCCAACATGACAGACTGGTGCGTATCCTGAGGGAAGATAATGTCGATGCAGCACATTTCCAGAAGATACAAATCCCATAGAGGGAGCAGAGGGCAGCAATACAAGCAAGTGGTATTAAGAAATTAAGAGAGGTAGATACCAGGTTTGTGTTCTGTATTTACAACTACTCAGCTTGCAGCCAGGAGGAAGAATAAACTAAATATTGTTCAGCTGCCAAAGAGGTCATCCAAGTTAACTGAGTTAATGTTAACATAAGACTCACTGATAGCCTTGTTTTTAATAGCTCTGACTAGAATACATTTCAGAACATGTTCACTGCCTACATCAATACTTCTTGCAACTCAGGAATGACAACCAGCAGTAGATGCTCAAATAGAAGCAGCAAATTATATTTGCAAGCATCTTTACTTGGGCAACACCTTTACACCTGTGACACCTTTAGCCTGATAGCCAAAGGATGAAATAGCGTTTCACCCCAGGGACGATTAAGTTGTAAAAAGCAAGTGTGATGAAGCTGTTTAAAAGGGTAGTTTTCTTTTTAAAAAGTAATTGAATAATTTTATGTGTTTCTGCACCGTAGACAG